CACAACATTCCCATTTGGATCTCCAACCCTTATCCATACTCTAGCCCTCATTCCAAGTGCAATACTGGTTACTGACCTGCAATTCCTACAAAATGTATTTGTACATTTTATCATCTAAAATGACATCCATGTCTTGTACTGTTGAATTAAAAGTTAAATTCTTATGTATTCATTTTGTCACGATGCTCTGTGTTACTGCAGTATTTAAAATACAGAGCTTGGGGTTGGAGAAATGGCTCAGTGGTTAAGTGCGCTGGCTGCTCTTGCAGAGGATCCAGGTTCAATTTCTAGCACTCACACGGCAGCTAACAACCATCCGTAACTCCAGTTCCAGGGGATCCAACACCTTCTTCTGATCTCTGCAGGCACTGCACGGCATGGGTGTACCTACCTACGTGTAGGCAATACACTCATACACGTAAAAGAAAAATAGTAAACAAAATATTTAAAAAAATAAGCCAGGCATGGTGGTGCACACCTGTAGTCCCAGCACTTGGGAGGCAGTCCGATCTTACACATAAAATAAAAATAATAAATAAAATAAGCTTGGGCTCAGCACTTAGATTTTGATTTTAATCTAGTCACATCTGCTTCGGCCTACTCTCTGTATTGCTGTGTCTACACCTGTGGAAATGACTTAACTGTTTGGTTTAGTGCTGTTTCCCATTTTTTGTATATTACTTCCAAACAAAAGTCTTTCCTACTAACTAGTATGTATGATTCTTTTGTCTATTCTATTGTCTCTGCTTCTACCTTTTTATCCTGGCCTAAATATTCTAAAAGCTGGAAGAACTGCTGTCCAATGTAGAACACTTTTAAGGTAAGCTATATAGGCTTGGACCTAGGAACATATATCTGGTGACAAAAATGGAAGTTTGATAATTTAATAGAGAAATACATGGCTATTTTATATTATTCATCCAACGGTATCTCCCTAGACTGTTAAGAACAATGATACAGAAAAGAATTTGTTTTCCTTCCATGACTTTTGTTCTTAATTCTAGGACTGGATTGTTGAATGTACAAGTGGGCTGATCTCATATGGGCTTGGAGTTTGGGTTAGACTCTTAGATCTACAAATTTTAGAAGTGAATGTAGCTCTATGCTACAATTACATAACACCTGTTACGTTCCTCTTCCTTCAATGGAACTTAGCTTCATTGTCATTTCTTTCTACTGTAACCCCCCATTCTCCCATTCTCTAGGCTGTCCCCCTGTGTTCTTTGACTAATCTGTCAATCATTCCTCTATAAAGGTGTGCATAATGATTATTTACTCAGAAGTGTGTCATTCTCTTTGAAATGTAAAGGCAGCAAATAGTATCTTGACATTTTCTGGACAAGTTATATTTGGCTCAAACATTAAAGAGCTAAGGGAAAAATAAGAGTCTAATTAGGTTAAAAATAAGGTGTTTATCATAAATTATATTCTCATATTTCATACTCAGTGTTCTTTTCTGATTGTCAAAATAATCAAAATACATAAAATATAGATTGATATGGGAGAGATAAATGAAAGATCATTAATAATATTGCCACCCTGGATAAAATCACCAGCAAATTTTAGTGTGATTTTTCTTAGTCCATTGTTACTGCTGTTGTAAGGAGAAGCACTGGAGGCAGAAAAGTTGATGTTTTGGGATAGAACGGTGGAAATGTTAAAAAGTGACCAGATTTGGGACATGAGAGTAAACGACCATGCTGATGGGACTTGTTAATAGATGCATTGAGGAAAGAATTATAAGTGATAGAAGAGATCATGACAACTCCCCAGATTTTGGCCTGAGGACTAGCCTGTAAGAAAACTATTAGCAGTTGGTTTATGATTTATCATTATGCCCATAGATTAGTGCATCTTTCAACCCTCATCAGAAAAGCTTCATTTTGCAGCAGATGGCAATTAACACAGAATCCCACAGCATACAGAAGATAAGGGTCTGTGGAGTGCTCAGCCCTAAGTCACACCAATATCACACCGCCTCCTCCTCCCAAGGCTCAAGTATCATCCATCCTGAAAGAGGGGTTGGAAAGACTGGAAGAACCGAGGTGGTAGGTGACCACAGTGAAATAGTGTGTTCTAGGCAGAGCAGGGCAGTGGCACATATGCACTCACAGCAGTTGTCTACATGTAGAAGACCCTGCAAGATCAAGCCAGACCAAATTCCAGCATGGGGTGGGGGAGGTAGTCACAAAGTTCCACCATGCCTCAGGAGCTATTGGCCATTGATACCTAGTGGAAGGGTCAATTTTCTTTAAGATCTGGCTCCCGGTAAGTCAGTCACACTCCAGTGGATGGCCCCACATCCAGGGGTATATGGACAGCACAAATCAGAGTCAATGGTTGTTTTTTTTTGTTTGTTTGTTTTTTTTTTTTACAAGGAGAAGGGGACATGAAATTGGGGAGAGAGGAAGGTGGAGGTGGATCTGGGACCTGGCATGCGTTTGGGGGAGAAGGGGCTAAATATGATCAAAATAGATTGTGTGGAAGTCTCAAAGAATTAAAAAATATTTTAAAAAGAAAATGACTAGCTTTGTACATTATATGTGTTTATAATCAATGTTTATGGATATATAAGGAAACTACACTCAGTGTAAATGTTTGAAAGTGTACATTGCATGAATGTATTTTACATTATAAAATGTACTTCAGAATATAACATTAAATTGTTGCATACTGTTCACCCATGTGATGGACTGTAACTTTTCTCCATATTGGGCATTTAGGGTGTCTTTTCTATTATACTAAGTAATACTGCAAGGTCCTCAGGCTCTCTCTCTTTCCTTATTTTCTCAGTCCTGAAATATTTATGTTGGGACAACTGGCCAAGGCTTATTGTAATTCAAAATGCCAAACAAGCCAGAGCTGCAGTGTATTCAGAAAAAGACTGAGACCAGGGGTTGCCTTCCTTTCAGTCCTCCAAAGGAACATGGTGAAAAATGTTTCAAGCCAGGCGATTGCTGCTTTCAAGGTGAGGTAATGGATATATACCAACGGAGACAAGAAAAGAGGGGACCCTGGTCATGAGGGATGAGGACTTGGTAAGACCCGGGCAGCAGGGCCAAAATCCAATGTAGAACCTTAATGTTTTCCAGGATTAGTTTTTGATACATTATGCATATACACATCCAAATAGGGCTTTGAAGGGTGAGGAACCGAAGGCAGGATTTGCTGGGGGAAGGCTGAAGCTCTGTGGATAGTTGGGTGCTCAGCCAGGAATTAAGCAGCCAGACTTTTCTGGCTCCAGCCTGCAGATAAAAAGCAGTTCATGCTGGTCCTCCAGAATTTGCCCAGGAAGCCTGAAGCTAAGCAAAGACTGTGAAGTCTTCTATCTGTGGTGTGAAGAAAGGTGTGATTAAAACCAAAAACATGCTGGGCATGGTGGAGCGTACCTTTAGTCCCAGCACTTTGGAGGCAGAGGCAGGCAGATCTCTGTCAACCTGGTTTGTATAGTGAGTTCCAGGACAGCTGTGGCTACAGGGAGACCCTGTCTCAAAAAGACCAAAAATAAACAAAAACAAAACAAAAACAACACCCAAAAGCCACCAAAATACCATCCCCCTTAAAAAAAAAAAATGTTCATTGAGGGTTTGTTTTTGTTTTTGTTCTTTCCTACAGAACAATGGGAATCAGTAGGTGGATATACAATAAAAATTCTAGACATAACCCTTTTCATTAAATGTGTTACAGAGGTAACCACATTATGAAACTGATCACTAACCATATGTGATAATATTCATGTAGGGATCAGAGATATAATTAGTGTCTGAGGTTCTGCGGGCCAGAGAACAGTCTTTGCCTTGCATGCATTCCTGAATTTAAATTGTATATTTCTTTTGCTATTAATCATTTGCTATTACTCCTTTCTTTCTTACCAGTCAGAAATATAAGCCTTGCCATTAACAGTGATAGTTTTAATTCAGAGTCATTTTCATTGACTAAAACTTTAATGTTTGAATCTACTATCCAAACATATTCTTATTTTTGAAAATTTGGAGAAAAAAAAAAAAACACTTATTCATGGCAGCTAAAGTCCTGATCTGTCCCTCTTGCAATGGGTGGGTTCTGATAAAAGAGACCAGAAGGAGCAAAGTGCTTCTGCTAGACGAGGGGTCTTAATACCGAGGACAAATGTAGAGTGGTTGGGGTGCCAAGGAGTTTGAAGGACAGAAGAGTTTAGGGTTTTTAAATATGCCACCACAGCCATTGACAATCTTAAGGAACACCCATTGGTCCAGATCCCTTTCTGCTTTCTGACTAGTACAGGAGCTTGAAGTCTTCCTCCCTAGAGGACAACTCCAAAAAACCACCCTCTGATCTCATGCTCTTGACCAGTGTCTAAAATAACATTTTATTTCTCTGCCAAGATGTGAATTTTGTTTCCGCAGGACTGTTTCTTAGCAGGTAATGATTCTAGCAGAGGTACCTAAAGAAAAGCCTTTCAAACGACCCTTTAAAGCACTTGCAAGATACTTAGGAAGCAGGTGGCTCGCCAAGGACTGGAACACACAAGAGAAATTGCTTTTATCATGTACCAGCCTGATCCTGTGCCATCGCTCAGCTAGAGATTTGTTTCTTTTAAATATTATTGTTGCCATCCTAGTTATTTTTGTTTTGTGCAAGAAAATAAAACCAAAACAAAACAAAATGAAAAACTCTGAAGCTGAGTGTGGGGACATACGCCTCTAAAAGCTCTGGGGAGGCAGAGGAAGGTGGATTTCAGTGAGGTCGAGCCCAGCTGGTCTATGTAGCAAATTCCAGGACAGCTGGGGATACAGGGAAATCCTGTCTCAAATACACACGCATGCAAACACACAATATCTGATAAGTGTGGCCCCTACGTGTCACCTTCAGGTGTAGTTTTATCAGATTGTTAGAAAAGCAGTTTGATCATTGCATTAAGTCACACTGCAAGGTTAATTGTTCAGATGTAGCTTGACAGTAATTCTTTTAAAATCTTTTCATTTTAAATTAAAACTTTCTCTTTTTTTCCTCCTTTGCAGAATCCAGTAATATTATGGCAGAATACTGTTATGAGCAAAAGCAGCTGGAATTACAAAATGGTAGCTTAGAGGAAGGATTTGTGGTGCTTTCCCTGGGGAACGAGCCCCAAAATACGATGGAGAGTCTAAGCCCAAGGAAATACTCTTCCAGTCTGAAATTTAAAGCCAATGGGGACTACTCTGGCTCCTATTTAACTCTCTCACAACCGGTGTCTACTAGGAGGAGCCCTTCTCCTTTGGGCATCAATGTCAGAAGCAGCCCCTCCTTGGCCAAAATCCAGGGAAGCAAACAATTCACCAATGATGGAACTGACAGAAATGTTTCCACAAAACCTCCCACTCCTTTGCTCAGCTCTGCAGCCTCTCTTGGATACCCACTTGGGAGAGCAGATTTTGATCATTACACCAATCGGGACAGTGAAAGGCCCTTGAGGCTCTCAGAGAAGCCTCCCTATTCCAAATACAGCTCTAGAAATAAATCACATGACAATGTCTACTTTCTCGGAGGACTGGAAGGACGCAAAGCATCTGGCTCCCTCCTGACCATGTGGAATGGAAGTTCCTTGAGTGATGCTGGCACCTCACCCATCAGCAGATCAGGGGCAGCAAGCATGCCTTCAAGTCCAAAGCAAGCCAGGAAGATGAACCTTCAGGATAACTTGACTCTGCAGCCCAAGTTAGCCAGGCATAAGGAGCCAGCATCTGAAAACATCACTGTGAGAACTAGGAAGTATTCTGGGAGCAGCTTGAGCCACATGGGAGCATACAGCCGATCACTTCCTAGATTGTATAAAGCCACAGAAAATCAGATGGCCCCTCTCAGCCTGCTTCCAAGAACCTCCCTGGGCAATTCTAAACGAGGCCGGCGGGGGGAAAAGGATCTACCTCATAGCATAGTGGATAATGACAATTACCTTAACTTTTCATCTTTAAGCTCGGGAGCGTCACCCTATAAAACCTCTATGTCCGAAGGCAATCCATATGTAAGTTCCACCCTCAGTGTCCCTGCCAGCCCTCGAGTGGCTAGGAAGATGCTCCTGGCCTCCACCTCCTCTGATGACTTTGACAAGGCTTCATACTCAGGGACCAGCCCAAGTCATTCATTCACTGCTGAAGAACCAGACAGAATGTTTGTGTCCAAGAGGAACTTCTCTTGTGGATCTGTGGAACTTGATGATTCTGATTTGGACAGCCTCAGACAGTCCTCAGGAACTCCCCAGCCTATCCTCCGAGAACGGAAAAGCAGCATCAGTTCCATTTCAGGACGTGATGACCTGATGGATTATCACCGGCGGCAGAGGGAGGAGAGACTCAGGGAACAGGAGATGGAGCGATTGGTAACCTTCTCTTTTAATCTTACTGTTCCCTGACTGGCATCTACAGGGTTGGAGACAGACTCCAAGGGTGGGGTGTGGAATCTCCATGTGGACCAGCCACTGTTGTGGCCTTGGGGCTTTGCTCTACTATTGTTAGGTCCGGTGGGCATTTTGAAATTTCAAAAACTCACCAGAGCCTCAAGTTAATTTAGTTGTTCTGGAATTCTAGAAATTCTTTTCTTTTTCCCCCTCTTTTTCTCTTTCTCTCTCCCCTCCTCTCCCCTCCTCTCCCCTCCTCTCCCCTCCTCTCTCCTCCTCTCCCTCCCTTCCTTCCCCCTCCCTCCCTCCCTCCCTTGCAAAACCACTGGAAATTCTGGAAAAAAATAATAGCTAGTTGTGAATTTTAATTTCTTATGCCTTAAAAGCTTTTCTTTTAAGACTATGAGGGAATGCTGGTATTACTTATACCATTAAATTCACTGGTATGCAGTTATGACACAAGTAGTCAGTGAAATAATAACTTAAAAAATTGTCTGTACAGCGTTGTCTGGAAAGTTGAAGGGTTATCTCAATGGTGCTCAAATTTTTTCCACATTTTTTACATAACACTAGACTCTTTTCAGCTATGTTTCTTAATGCATTCATTGACTCCAATCTGCAATGAATTTATGCAAATGAATTTATGCTGCTATACAAAAGTATAGGATTATCAGAAGTATTATAGTTACCAAAAAATTTATGTTTGAATACTTTTTTTAAGTCAATGGGAAAAGTTTTTCATCAAAAACTGGTCAATGTCCTACAGTACCATGCATTGTAATCTCTGGATTATTTGAACAGAAACCATCTACACTGCATAACATTTGACATTCTAGAATAAGAATCATTTACAACACTCCAAGTTTTTGATATTCTAATTAAGAATAATGCGTGAAAACAAGTGTACGTACACCTAGCTAATAAATAGTCCCTATGTATGACAGACAACATGCCAGTATGCCAAATCTCCCCCACCCCATTTTGGTCATAAGTCATCTCTGGAGAGTATTCATAATCACCAAAAGCATTGTGTCTAGGCTTGATCTGAATTCAGAACGTTATTTAATTAACATAAACTGTAGACACTAAAGAATGCCATAAGGTGCCAAGCAACTATTATTAATAAAATCTGAGAAAGAGCTTTGATAATTTACTAAGGAATCCAGAAAAGCATTTTCTGTGGATTCTATCACTCTAGAGGTCATCCTTCAGTCCTCACAAAGACTTTTATCACAAGGATAGAAAACCAACTCAGGAACTTCATATGCACGGGGTTCCATCTTTAGCATATGTAAGTGTTGGTGAATTTCTCTGTCCTTTAGATTCTCCAAATCTATGATTCCTGAAAATCCAGAAGATGACTTTCCTTATTGCCTGTAAGACTGGGACCCTATAAATCATGAACAAGTTCAACTTCTTGGGATATCTTGATGGTTGTTGTTAGAAATGTTAGTTATAGTCTCTTTTCCTTAATAGAAGGCTTGTTATATTAGAGGAAATGAGGCTTATCTGTAAAAAAAAAAAAAAAGATGGCTGTGTTAGGGGGGCTGGAGAGATGGTTCAATGGTTAAAAGCGCTGGTGACTCTTGCAGAAGACCCAGGTTCTAATCCTAGCACCCACATGGCAGCTAACAACTATCTGTGTAACTCTAGTTCTAGGGGATCCAGCACCCTCTTCTGTCCCCCATTGGCACTGCACAACATGAGTGCACTTACTACATACATGCAGGCAATACAGTCATACACATAAAATAAAAATAAATACTGTGCTAAGTGAGCTTTCTATTACTTTTATAAAATACCTGAGGTAGTCAACTTATAAAGAGGTAAGGTTTATTTTAGATCATAGTTTTGGAAATTTCTGTGTGTAGTCAGTTTGACTTCATTGCTTTTGGGTTTGTTCATGGTAGAGAACATGTGGTAGAACAAAGCTGTGCCTTTCCTGGCCAGGATGTGATGGAAAGAGGAAGAGACCAGGGTCTCACAATTCCTGTTAAGGACAGATCCCTCATGACTGGGAGAGCTCTTATTAGGCTCCAGCTCTTTGAATTTCAACCAACTCTTAAAAGCATTTAAACATTTGGGCCTTTGGGAGAGGCTTAAGACTGAAGCTATTGCAGTGGCACTTTGGGTTGGGCTTTGAATGGTCTGTTTTCCCAAACAAAGTAACGCAGACTGTTATCAAGCTTTTGCAAATGATATTGTCATTATAAAGTGACACACAAAAATATATTTCTTCCTGAATTCTGAAAGATCAAAGAAAACAAGCTAACATTCCATGAGGTACTGGAAGTGTCTGCCTTTGAGGAAGGCACATTCTAGTGTGTAGCAGGCAGACTTTAGGCAGCTGTAGAGGAACACAAGGCCCATTTGGTAAGTGTAGCACAGCAAAACAGCCTTGCTTCTTTATAAGCTGTCTCACTTATTTTGTAAAAGTAATAGAAATCTCACTTAAAATAGTCATTTTTTAAAAAAAAGACTCATTTCATTCAATATAGTAGACTTGTGGTTAATTTAACATACAGGAGAGCTAAAATGCTTTATCAGAATGTAAGACTTGACCTTAATCAATATGGAGATATTGACATGTGTGTTTAAAGCCTTTCTATATAGCAAGGACACAAATTTGAATATTTTTCATAATGATATTTTACTTGTGCAAAATTATCCCAAGGAAGGCCGAACCTCTCAGCCTTTGATTTGATTTCTCCCTATGCCATTCCTGACAATACTGGCCATTTAATATAAAAGGGCATAGTAAACAAATCTAATTGTTATGACATCTTTCTTTTTTGTAAAGTTAAAGAATAAATTTTATGATTATCCAAAATTTCTCTGGTAAAACTTAAAGGTAGTTTAGACAAGGTATTTTGGGATAATTTTTTCCCCAAATTTAAGGTCTGTTTGATCTTAGACAAAGTCAAACATTAATCAGAGATTTCTTCACTTGAATAACACAGCATTACAAATATCTGAAAGAAATAAGTGCTTGTAAGCAGCATGGCTGTCTGATAAGCAAAATGACTATGTTATTGTATAATAAGCAAAAAACTTTATCTTAGTCAGAAATGATGGAATTTTGTCATTTTAAGTATACAAAGATGTATCCCATTAGCATTAAACCTGAAAATTACTTTTGTATGGTACTAAATCTCTGCTCCAGAGAAATAGTAAACAGAACTTCTTTATTGCCCTTTGTAAGTAAGGGTGAAATTCTTCAATATCTGTTTCATTCCAGTGGCAATACCAGAATTTTAGTTTAATACCAATAGCATGCTTGCCATGCTTTATAGAATTAAAAAATACTTAATCAGTAAGTCCATAAAAATTTTGCAACTTTGTGTGGGAGAGATGGCTTGGTGGGTAAGAACATTTGCTCTGCAAGCATGAGGACATAAGTCTGAATCTCCAAGACCATATAAAAAAGTCAGGCATGACCGTCCATAGCTGTAACCCCAGCACTGGTGGGTGGTACGGACGAATAGATTTCTAGAACTCACTGGCCAGGCAGCCTAACTAAAACGGTCAACTTCCAGTGCAGTGAGAAATTCTGTCTCAAGTCAGTAAGGTAGAGTGTCAGTAAGGAAGACACTTAACACCCTGCTAAGGCTTCTGCATGCTTGCCTGTGTGCATTTATCCACACACTCATGTGCATGAAACTACTCACACACACATCTCCATACCACACACAATTGTACTTCTGCCAAAATTTTAACATTGTATAATTTTTTTTTCTTTTTTAAAAGTTAATTGTTATCATTGTATGTCTGTGCATGGTGTTTTTGTGTGCACGATGGAGGGATTAGCATGTGTGCCATGGTGTGTGTGTGGGGTTGGTTCTCTTCTTCTGCTTTCACACAGGTTCTGGGTAGCAACCTCAGGTCACCAGGATTGCAGCAAGCACCTTTACCCTCTGAGCCAGTCCTGTATTACTTTCTCACAGACATAATTTTCGTCTATGAAAAACCAACAAAACTAAGATCTACGACTTCGAACATAGTTTTCTATTTCTAATCCTGTGCCTTTAATCCCAGATCTTTGTGAGTTCGAGGACAGCCTGGTCTACATAGTGAGTTCCAGGACAGCTAAGGCTACAAGGAGACCCTGTCTCAAACAAAACAAAACAAAACAAAACAAAAAAAAGTGAAATTTTATTTACTATCCACCAATAAAACAAGGAAAGGATATCTAGTTGATTTTTGAATCATAAACAAGTCTGATCAGTTTGGTTGTATAGTGTTTATTTTGTTTTGTTTTCTGAGACAAGGTCTCTGGTAGCCCAGACTGGCCTTAAACACCCTATGTAGCCAAAGCTAGCCTTGAACTCATCTTCCCCCTGTCTCTACTTTCCAAGTGTTGAAATTACAGGCATAAATCACCAGTTCATTTTCTTAGTGGAAAAACTATGCTGGAGAGTTGGCAGCTCTCATAAGAAAGGTCTTTTCTTAAGAAGGAAAAACTTTTAAATAGAATTTCATTCTATTTTCTTGGAATTTGGAGTCTGTTGGATTTGTTTAAATGCTTATTAGTCTCTATAAATCAATTAGAACAGCAGGCTCCTCAATTTTAAATTATTATTACTTTTGGGAAGCAGGAAAATACTTCTATGTACAGTAGTTTTTTGTTTTTTTTTTTCTCAAAGAACTTAGCATAAGTTCCTCAGCTTCAACAATAGGTCAGAAGTGAGTACTGAAACACAGAAACACAAAGATTTATTCCTGGTCAGATACAAATAAATTATGAGTAAATACTCTGCCACGTCTTACCCATCAAGGTTGGATTCTGCTCCTGCCTATCAGAAAACCAACGACCAGAGATCATGAACTAGAAGCCTGCCACCCCCGATGGGGACAGCTGGCAGCTGTGTGCAAGTCCAGCCTGTTGCCTATCAAATATGTTCCCAAAACACAATAGCACAGAATCGAAAACAAAACCTGCAGAGTCAGTGATGGTAAAGTTCTACTGCCATTTTGAATTTATC